GCATTCACGTCTACCATTATCTTAATTGCTTTAATGTTTCTATGTAAGTGAAGCTAATATTGTTTACACCATACTCCTCAAAGGACTGCACCTCACCTGCCGGAGGAGTTTGTATGTTCGGATGATTCTAGAGGCGCTGTGTTGCCTGAGGCTATTTGCACATGGAATGGACCATGGATGGTCTCCTATGGAAGGGTCTCCCATTGAAGGGTCTCCCATGGAAGGGTCTTCCACGACAAACAGGTCAGATGAAGTGCAGTACAAACCCACCATAAATAGTTTACAATCAAGGGCCGCGACGTTGACACCTGGAGCCTGAGGTTGGGGTCTGTGTGTGATTGCCTACAGGCCGAGACGTGGGATTTATAGGGGATGGGTGGTGGTTGAAGGCCGGGAGTCCGTCTGGCTGTGGAGACGTGGACTTCACCTCACTGGAGAAGTAGAAGGCTGAGCTCGAAGAGGAGGTGGAGAGATACCGACAGGTCGTTGGCCCCCACCTCAAAACACAGCTTTTGGGGTTGGACCCTCCACTTCTTTGGTGTTTCCCCCAGAGAGAGGCGGAGTGTTTTCTGAACGCCTCCCTAGAGAAGTCTTCAGGGACATAGTCTTCAGGGCACGGCTTGACGAGGGGAGACCTCGGGGAAGACCCAGGTCATGTCGGAGCTGGCTCATCTGGGATTCTCTGGAGAAAGAGTGGAGAGTGAAGTCTCTGCTCAGACTGCTGCGCCCACGACTTGGATTAAGCTGAAGAAAACTGATGGATGGATGATGCTAGCATGTTGCCCTGTTGTAGATTACAGAGATGGTATAACTTGACCTGAAAGCATTTGTGATCGTATCGCAGATATTTACCTTGTTAAATAAAAACACAAACACTAAAACTTTTGTCCCCATGATTGCAAACAAACTCTGAACTCATTGTATGGCATGGAGCTGGACTCTGTGAGCTCCATGTTTACGGGACAATAAATGAATCCTCCTCACTGATGAAAGTGTGAGCCACCGCAGCCAAACCTCCTCCATGAAGAAGTGGCTTTATTCATCGGTGTCGATTGTTCACATGAGAAAAGAGCTGAGTGTGCAAAGACACAGGAGCAACCACCGGCCCTCTGTAACGAGGCCTCTGCACCAGGCCTCTGTAACGAGGCCTCTGAATGTGGATCACTATCGAGTCCTCGAGTTCAGAGGTTTCCAAACGTTTGAGGCCCTGACTCTTGAAACTGTTTTGTAGAACAAACAGAGGAAACGAGACTAAACATGGCTTCAGTGCAGTCGCTTCTGTTTGAGGCGATTGATCATCACAAAATACAATCAAAGGAAAAAAGTGCCATGTTCTTTTCTGCTGAGATGCAAAATGTGCTTTGGCTCCAAATTAAACTATTGACCATTCTCTATGATAAATATAACTCCAGACCGAATAAATATTCACATACAGTGGAGAGCGTGTAAAAAAAAGTGTAAAATATTGCATCCTCCGGTGCAATATATGCAGTGGAGCAAAAAATAATTTAGTCAGCCACCGATTGTGCAAGTTCTCCCACTTAAAATAATGACAGAGGTCTGTAATTTTCATCATAGGTACACTTCAACTGTGAGAGACAGAATGTGGAAAAAAAATCCAGGAATTCATATTGTAGGATTTTTTAAGAATTTATATGTAAATTAAGGTGGAAAATAAGTATTTGGTCACTTCAAACAAGGAAGATCTCTGGCTCTCACAGACCTGTAACTTCTTCTTTAAGAAGATCTTCTGTCCTTCACTCGTTACCTGTATTAATGGTCCCTGTTTAAACTTGTTATCTGTATAAAAGACACCTGTCCACAGCCTCAAACAGTCAGACTCCAAAATCCACTATGGCCAAGACCAAAAAGCTGTCGAAGGACACCAGGAAGAGAATTGTAGACCTGCACCAGACTGGGAAGAGTGAATCTACAATAGGCAAGCAGCTTGGTGTGAACAAATCAACTGTGGGAGCAATTATCATAAAATGGAAGACATACAAGACCACTGATAAGCTCCCTCGATCTGGGGCTCCACACAAGATCTCATCCCTTGGGGTCAAAATGATCATGAGAACGGTGATCAAAAATCCCAGAACCACACGGGGGGACCTGGTGAATGACCTGCAGAGAGCTGGGACCAAAGTAACAAAGGGGACCATCAGTAACACACTACGTTGACAGGGAATCAAATCCTGTAGTGCCAGACGTGTCCCCCTGCTGAAGCCAGTGCATGTCCAGGCCCGTCTGAAGTTTGCCAGAGAGCACATGGATGATACAGCAGAGGATTTGGAGAATGTCATGTGGTCAGATGAAACCAAAGTAGAACTTTTTGGTATAAACTCAACTCGTCGTGTTTGGAGGAAGAAGAACACCATACCTACTGTAAGTAAGTAAGTAAGTAAGCTTTATTTATATACCGCCTTTCACAGACCAGAGTCACAAAGCGGTTTACAATTGTTATTTTTTGGGCACTTGTCCTCTCACTCCACACAGAGACAGGAGTGGGGTCGCCGAACAGGAGGCGCATGCCAGACCTATTGTACATATTTTTAGTTGTAGGGGAAACCGGAGTACCCGGAGGAAACCTACGCAGACACAGGGAGAACATGCAAACTCCACTCAGAAAGGCCCTGGTCCGGCCGGGATTCGAACCCAGGACCTTCTTGCTGAGAGGCGAGAGTGCTATCCACTCAGCCACCGTGCCGCCTGTGAAGCATGGGGGTGGAAACGTCATGCTTTGGGGCTGTTTTTCTGCTAAGGGGACAGGACGACTGATCTGTGTTAAGGAAAGAATGAATGGGGCCACGTATCGTGAGATTTGGAGCCAAAACCTCCTCCCATTGAGTTGAATTTCAGTTATTGACCAAATACTTATTTTCCACCATAATTTACAAATAATTCTTTAAAAATCCTACAATGTGAATTCCAGGATTTTTTTCCACATTCTGTCTCTCACAGTTGAAGTGTACCTATGATGAAAATTACAGACCTCTGTCATTATTTTAAGTGGGAGAACTTGCACAATCGGTGGCTGACTAAATACTTTTTTGCCCCACTGTATGTATACTGTATATATACTGGCATGTTTACAACTGCAGATAAATCAGGAATACACTCTTGCGCGAGAATATTATTGTAATCAGTAATTAGCTCTGAGGTTGTGTAAGTAAGTAAGTAAGCTTTATTTATATACCGCCTTTCACAGACCAGAGTCACAAAGCGGTTTACAATTGTTATTTTTTTTGGGCATTTGTCTCTCGCTCCACACAGAGATGGGAGCGGGGTCGCCGAACAGGAGGCGCATGCCAGACCTATTGTACATATTTTTAGTGGTAGGGGAAACCGGAGTACCCGGAGGAAACCTACGCAGACACGGGGAGAACATGCAAACTCCACTCAGAAAGGCCCTGGTCCGGCCGGGATTCGAACCCAGGACCTTCTTGCTGAGAGGCGAGAGTGCTATCCACTCAGCCACCGTGCCGCCCGTGTATGATAGCATCATGTCATACTACTGTACATGTTAGCAGCATGTGATGCTACTGTACATGTTAGCATCATGTGATGCTACTGTACATGTTAGCATCATGTGACACTATAGAGTACATGTTAGCATCATGTGATGCTACTGTACATGTTAGCATCATGTGACACTATAGAGTACATGTTAGCATCATGTGATGCTACTGTACATGTTAGCATCGTGTGATACTATAGTGTACATGTTAGCAGTACGTGTGAGGTCAGGTTGGCAATTGTCAAGACCTTCAAAATCTTTCCTTCACACAGCGAGGGGGAATAAGTCTGTCACTGAAGCAACTCTCCAGAGCAGACAAGAGTGTCCTGTAGGGGGCGACATGGTCCACATAGATGTCAGTTTGTCCATGACCCTCCTGTCCCCCACCCGCTGCACTGTCTCCAGGGAACAGCCCAGGACAGAGCTGGACTTCCTGATGACCTTGTCCAGCTTCTTCCTGTCCGTCTCTGTGATGCTGCTGCTCCAGCAGACCACACCGTACAAGATGGCTGATGCCACCACAGAGTCATAGAAGGTCTTCAGGGGTGGCCCCTGCACTCCACCTGAGCCTCCTCAGCAGAAGAGCCTCCTCAGCAGTAGAGCCTCCTCAGCAGTAGAGCCTCCTCAGCAGTAGAGCCTCCTCAGCAGTAGATCCTCCTCCTCAGTGGTAGAGCCTCCTCAGCAGTAGAGCCTCCTCAACAGTAGATCCTCCTCAACAGTATAGAGCCTCCTCAGCAGTAGAGCCTCCTCAGCAGTAGAGCCTCCTCAGCAGTGGATTCTCCTCAGCAGTAGAGCCTCCTCAACAGTAGAGCCTCCTCAACAGTAGAGCCTCCTCAGCAGTAGATCCTCCTCCTTAGTGGTAGAGCCTCCTCAGCAGTAGAGCCTCCTCAACAGTAGATCCTCCTCAACAGTATAGAGCCTCCTCAGCAGTAGAGCCTCCTCAACAGTAGAGCCTCCTCAGCAGTAGAGCCTCCTCAGCAGTAGAGCCTCCTCAGCAGTGGATTCTCCTCAGCAGTAGAGCCTCCTCAGCAGTGGATTCTCCTCAGCAGTAGAGCCTCCTCAGCAGTAGAGCCACCTCAGCAGTAGAGCCACCTCAGCAGTAGAGCCACCTCAGCAGTAGAGCCGGGTGCGAACGACCGTTGAGGGGCTTTGTTCTCCCTGTAGCAGTGCAGGGGGCGGGTGGTTGATTGAACCTCTGGTAAATGTTGTTCAGATCATTAAAACGTATTTATTCGTAAACCTCCAGTTTCCGCTTTATATTAACTACCTGAACAAAATGCTCCAAAATTCCCAACACTCAAGATGTATAGGACTAATGAGCTAATCTGAATTTTAAAAGTTCTTTTGTTGAACTATTGAAAGAAAGCATTAGTCCTCAAAGGAATGCTCTCATGCACTTGTCCCAATCCTGCCTGAAAGCCTATTAAAACAAGAGTGCATTACGTCCTCTTTGTGCTTACATGTGGTGCGGCGCTCAGGACGCATGGCTGAGTACATCGCCACGGTAACGGCAGCTGGCAGAGCTCCTATTCCTGTGGAGGCAGGAGACATCACAGGGAGAAAAGCCCACGGTCAACAGGCCACACTCAGCTTGCAGGAGTTAATTGGGTGTGAAAAAATGTGAATATCAATCAGGTCCCATGTCGCAGCAGGAGAGAGGGCGGAGCAGCGATGGTGTGAGCTGCAGCACCACATGGGCTCCAGCAGGTGGAAGACGCCGGTAGATTAGACAGATGGCAAAGGCCTGATGCAAAATGATGAACATATCACTGGTTGTAGCTGATCAATCATGACAGGAAAATGTATATATTAATATATGATCTGCTCTATAATAATGACCGCTATATAATGTGATGTGTGTTCAAACTATAATTATTGAAGTTTTTTTTTTTTTTTTATGGATTTCATTTCAGCGCTGTAATCGCAAGAAAATAGTCTATATAAACTTTAATGCATGATTAAAAGACATGTGAAAACTTTTATAATTAGATTTGTGCAAATGAGTCAAGCTGACTTTGTCCACAATAGACAGGAAAAGTTTCAGACATGTTCTGAACCTCAAATAATATAAAAAATAATACATTTTATTCAAAAGCGCCTTTCATAAAACCCAAGGACATTGTACAAACATGGTTAAAAACAGCTTTATTAAAAACAGAAAATAACAGAACTGGACAAAGGTGTTCGTGTGACTGGTCATGTGGGGAAAGAAAGTCTGAAAAGGTGAGTTTTGAGTCTGGATTTGAACAGAAATATGTGTTTCTTCTTTTGCTTTATTAATATTACTCCCATCTCTCTGTGGAGAGAGAGACGAATGCCCACAACTGTAAAGCACATTGTGACTCTGGTCTGTGAAAGGCGCTATATATATAAAGATTACTTACTTACTTGAATGAAAAAAGTGACCAAAGTGTAGTAAAAACCCCTTCATTCAGTTAAACAGTTAAAATGTATCATTAGGAGCGAGCCACAATGTGAAGTATATTCTGAGAATGATCATCAGTTTCCATGGAAGCACATTTTGGTTATTAATAACATTAGTATCTGAGCTTGAATCCAGTTTGCCAAACAATGCATTTATAGAGAAACGTCTTATTCTTACATCCACAGGACCTCCAGACCCTGAGAGCCGTGAGAGCGACTTCTTTAATGAAATCACAGTTCTTATTTTAACAACTGCAAACAGGAAGTACATCTGTGCATAAAATGACCCCTACAACAGTGTGTGGCCAAACTACTGATAGCTCCACTCAACGGTGGATTGTTGATTTAATTATACGTCTTAAGAAAATAACTATTTTTTCCATGCTGGGCTGTGGAGCTTCGATAATTACCCCTCTCCAGATCAGAAGCCTCTCTCAATGGTCTGCTGCAGCTTTCATAACTGTTTAGAGGCGTCCGTCTTAAAACTGGTCAAGACATTGCTTCCTGACTTTGGAGATGGAGATAGAGAGACCAGAGAGAGACTAGAGAGCGACCAACGAGAGACCAGAGAGAGACTAGAGAGAGACCAGCGAGAGACCAGAGAGAGACTAGAGAGAGACTAGAGAGAGACCAGCGAGAGACCAGAGAGAGACCAGAGAGAGAGACTATAGAGAGAGACCAGAGAGAGAGAGACTATAGAGAGAGACCAGAAAGAGGCAGGAGAGAGACCAGAGAGACTAGAAAGAGACCGGAGAGAGACTAGAGAGAGACCAGAGAGAGAGACCAGAGAGAGACTAGAGAGAGACCAGCGAGAGACCAGAGAGAGACTAGAGAGAGACTAGAGAGAGACCAGCGAGAGACCAGAGAGAGACCAGAGAGAGAGACTATAGAGAGGGACCAGAGAGAGAGAGACCAGAAAGAGGCAGGAGAGAGACCAGAGAGACTAGAAAGAGACCGGAGAGAGACAAGAGATACAGACCAGACAGAGAGCAAAGAGAGAGACCAGAGAGAGAGCCTACCTGCCCGAGGAGAGAGATCAGAGAATGACCAAAGAGAGAGAACAAAGAGAGGCCAGAGAGAGACCAGAGAAAGAGTTCTGAAAGAGATCAGAGAGACCAGAAAGCGATACCAGAGAGAGACCAGACAGAGAGAGACCCTACCTGCCTGAGGAGATAAGCTTCGCACCAACAGTATCTCTTTTAAATCACTTCTTAAAACGGTTTTATCTGTTATTTTTAAACTTCACATGATGTATTTTACTGTCTGCTTTGTCTTTCCTGTTTAATCCGACTGTTTTATTTTGTTTTATGCTGACTGTGCAGTGCTTTGTAAACACTGGTTTTACAAGTACTATACAAATAACCATCATTCTATCATTATTATTACCAGTTATGTGAATTGTCAATCCAGCGACTGATTTGAGTATCTCTAACGAACGCCTCCTGCCGTGTTCACCTCAGAGCGAGTTTGAGGAGTCTGAGGAGGTTGACCCGGACCCCCTGCTGTAGCTGAGAGGTCGCCTGCACAGAGGGAGTCCGGCTTTTGATTAAAACCACCTCCCGGTTGCAGATGCAGAAACACATTCTCATGACAGCAAACATGCAGACCCCCCGTGTGAAATGGAACAGAATATATATGTTAAAAGACCCGGCATCAAAGGGCCTTAACCGTTTGAATAGCAAAACACGGTGAATTGCAGCTTGTCCCGTATACCATTATCATACACTGAATAGCAATGTTTCATCTGGCAGTGTGTTTAGGTCGGAAGAGTCAAGTTACAAAGAGAAACAGCCGAATGAAACGGAAAAATATTTGGTGTAATTTTGTATGTGTGTGTGTGAAAAACAAAGACTTATAGGAAAGGAAATATCAGCCTAATAAACTTAAATATATTCCAGCCCTTAGGAGCAACGGCAATATGTTAAGAAACCTCAGTCAGAAATTGGCCGAAAAGATTCCCCTTATTTCCCATGTGACTTTTATCACCAAAAAAAGTATTTTCAGTCAAGTTAATGTCCTCAGTCTATATCAGTCTAAGGGTAAGTGGTGCGTCATTTTAAAGGTAAATTTTTCAAGAAAACAGCCTAATCATGTATTATGTTCTAAATATTGAACCCTGAAAAGAGCTAACTAAAGCAATAGTCTGTAATAACAAAACCTTACTTACTTATGATCAAGTTTCGGGGCAGTCCATTTAGTTCAGAACAATCTAAAAGTCAAGTTAAATTAGTGTAATTAGTTGGTAAAATAAAAAAGCTACAGTGTGAAGTAAATAAAAAACTTCAGTGGCAACAGCAGTGTAACAAAACCATCTTTCCACAAATAAAACAAAAAAGGCTGTGAATAACTGTAAATAGATTTTTTTCACCCCTTCATAACAAGAGGTTCTCGGGTCTGACCCAGTGTGGGCGGGACTTGGCTCCTAAATGTCCATGAGTATGTGCGCTGACATGCTGCAATCTCACTCCTTGCCTGTGGGGGTGTACCCGGAAAGAGAATTACCCAGTACTTTTGTAGGGCGTCTTCTTACATCTCGAAAACAGCTTTACAGGATGGTCCAAAAGTGGCTCTTGGTCCAAAAGTGGCTCTTGATCCAAAAGTGGCTGTTGGTCCAAAAGTGGCTCTTGGTCCAAAGCTAAGTTCTAGATGCTGTCGATGTTGAGGGGAGTATATTTTTTGGACCAGTCTAGTTTAGCCGCTGTGGACTTTTGAATGCATTAATGAGGCTAGTGCAGCTAACACATGCGCAAATGTGTTTTTTCACATTTTCCTGCCCCACGGCCATTTTGAAAAAACCACAGAGGACAAAAGTAGTGGCACATTAGTTTGAATGGCGGAGATAGGCGTCACTACATCTGTTAATATTTAAATTCTATAGTCTGAACATCCCGGCCCGGCCAGAAAGGAAAGAAAAACAACCACGAGCATTGGATATAGGTAAAGATGATAACGATGATATTATTCATGAGGGACTCGAGAAGGAGACAGACATCAGAGTGACACGTTATGAGAAAACAGTTCGGAACCTTGAATAAAAAGCCACATAAAAAGCTCATTACTCTGTTTCAACATGAAATAACAGTATGTCTTTAGTTCTGATTGGGTTTTTATCTTAAAGTTGTGCCAGAATGAAAAGGTTCCGAGTACAATGAGTGCCAATTTAACACACATCCGAACAGCGGAAACTACATCAAAAGTAAGAAATGTACTTCCTGATAGTTTGAGCCGGTGTAATGGTGTGTCCACAGCCGGCGTTGATCTTTCATTTCATCCTATCGGCCTTTCCTTATCTCATTAAAATAAAAGACTTTGCATTGGTTCATTGGCATTTATCAGCGTTGCTCTGAATCAGCTAAATTCTCATCTATTCTCACCCCTCGCTGCTTTGTCTGGGCGTATTAGAATAATGTACTTTCACTTCTGCCACTGCCTCCAATCAATCCCATGTCATAGTGCTCCAATTCTCATTTGTACGACTTTGCTTTGACCACACTCAGTTAACGGCGGAGGAATAGTAATGTGGAGAGAGCTGCGGACCACTTTCTGTCCCCGTTGAATGGAACCATCTTTTAACACTCTGTGAGCAGTGCTAACTTTAAAGCCCACCGAGGTTCCAGAGGTGAATACCATTGATTTTTAACTTTCTTATCTCAGACAATTGAGCAACATTCATCCAAAAGTAATTCTTCAAACTAAAAATCTGTTTCTTGTAAATCATAAATAAATTCTGGTTTGGGGTTAGGGTTGAGGAACTTCTGTTGATGGTGTTGAGACAAATCAATGTGTTTTTTTATTTCATTTCTACAGCCACTTACACTCTTCTCTTTAGTTTCTTTAATTAAGATACCAAATAATGGGGAGAGCTGAAAATCAAGGCAGAGATCCATTTTCTTTTTTAACACATTGCATATTGTTTTACATTAGCCCAGCTCACAGGAATTTCCCAAAAAATTTGGTTTTCAAAAAGTCACATAACATTGCAGTTGAATTAGCCTGGTCTTACCATACCATCGTCCTCATTTCATTTCATACTAAGGTCTGGATTTGCTCCATTGACTCCGTTAACAGGTGGGAGGGGTTAACTCCCATTTCAGATTGAAACTATTGGATCGGAGTTTACTGTGACGTATGTAATGAGCCCGAGTGAGCTCATTTAGCATTTAGCCTAGCTTTAGCATTTAGCCTAGCTTTAGCATTTAGCCTAGCTTCAGCCATCTCCTTTGCCACTAACGGAGCCCGTGGGGAGTAGAGCCACAACATCTTTGCATCAATGACATTTACTAAACATTCCTCTTGCTCCGGTTTCAGTTTATTGATATTTAGATTGAACCAGAACAGATTATTTCACTATCGCAAACTCTTGACGTCACCGACACCAACCTACAACACCCAGACCAACATGTAGGAGATGATTATGGACCAGAGTTTACACATGGTAATGGAATAACTCAAAATTATATATAATATATATGAATATATTTGTTTTTTTGAAGTTCAAAGAAAATATAGTCCCGGTGAAATGAAAACAAAATGTATGTAAAGGTGAATGCAAAGTCTTCCCTCTCCAAATCTGTTGAGCAGGCTTTGAGCAATCCCATGCTCAACATGGTGCACAGCATTTATTTCTGTCCTCAGCTTCTCATTTGAAATACTATCAGTATGGAAATCACACGGCTGCACTTCCTGTTTGTGTCTCCAGTGTGCGACTTTGGTTACACAGCCGCTTCTTATTGATAATTCCGCCCGCTGCCTTTAACTGCATGTGACATATTGAATGCCTCACATGTTGCCAGTTTCACCCCAGTGACAATTTAAAGTGTTGACAGGCAGACACAATCCAGGAGCAGATCCCTGGTATCCGATGTAGCGCCGAGCCCTCCCCGGAGGATCAAAATCAATAAAGCAATGGGAGACGACTTTTTTTAGACCAGTGGCCAATCAAAATGGAGAGGAGAGAAAGGTGGGAGGGGGGTTACAGACCGGTGTGCTGGCTCGGCTCTGCTGGAGACCTCCGCTGGAAGAGCAGGACCTTACGGGAATATTGGATAGCACTAACCCGGGAGACTGGAAACTGTGATCCACTTAGTGAAGAAACCAAGCTAACCAACACAAGCTCCTTTAATCGTGACTTTGACCTTGTCTGAGCAGCCAGAAAAAGGATTTGTCACCGGGAAGGGCTAAAACATACAATCAAACATCAAAATGACTGCGGGGGCTGAACATTTTGAAAAAAAAGTGCATCTGCGCATGCATCAGCGGCATGAGCCCCATTCATTTAAGGAATGCCTTCAAAAGTCCACAGCGACTAAACTAAACTGGTCCAAAACACCCCCCTCAGCATTGACACACATGTGGAACGGAGCTTTGGGCCAAGAGCAAACTTTTGGACCATCCTGTAAAGATATTTTCGAGAAGATACGTACATTAGCATTGAATAATTCCTTAACCGGGAATTATTCCCGGTTAAGGAATAATTCTGGCTGGTTGTGATATTGCAGCATGTCAGCGCACGTCATTTTAGACATTTTTGAGCTGGGACCTGCACCCACTGGAATTAACTCATGTGGAATTATGTACGTACTAGGGATGAAAATCGGTGACCGGTTAACCGGTGGTTGACCGTCAAAGCGTTAACCGGTCAAAGCTGTCGGTTAAAAAAGAGAAAAGGGGGAGAGGGGAGGTCTCTTCATAACGCTATTTTAAGCCCTATTTGCACGATGTGACGAGCGGGTCCCTATCTAGCTGTGTGCGCCAATGTAACAGTAAACTCTGGGCCGACTCTCACGCCGTACGCGCCACATATGCATGCACACATGTACACGCACACGCACACACACACACACATTTCCTCCCCCCCTCCATTGACACGTAACATCCACACGCATCATCTCTCCCCTGTGTTACCGTCTGCTAGTTGCACACTGGTGCGGGTCAGAACTACATTGGAGCTTATATTTACACACACATACATACATGTATTGCACACACACACATAGCTTACATATACACACACACAGACACATACATACATGTATTGTACACACACATAGCTTACATATACACACACACAGACACATACACACATACATACATGTATTGTACACACACACATACCGGTCTGTCGCGCTCCTCTGTGTCACGGAGCCCAAAGCATTCTTGCAAATACACGGCTCCAGTCAAACCACATGGACCATGTTTGTGCTGCTGGTCCTTGGCATCAGCTCCACACTGATCACTTTTAAACTTTAGCGGAGACCTGCGAGACGCGGCTCGTCACTCGCTGCTCTGACCATGTGGACGAGCTGTCTTTTGCTTAAAAATGCTTTAAGCCGCAGCACAGAAGAATGGGAAGATTAAAACAGCAGTTCTCTGTGCGCAAAGGTGCCGAAGCTGTTGCGGGTTTTGGCGCCGCTGTCTCGGCTCTGATCCAGTAGAACGCAGAGCTGCACTTATGAAAAGTACGCGGCTCGAAATGGCTGTTATTTCAAAGAACGTGGACTATTTTAAACTACGCGGTTAACCGGTTTCAACCGGTTAATGAGGCTCGGTGGTCGGTCATGAAAATTCATAGTTTTTTACATCCCTAGTACGTACTAAAAAAAAAAGTATGACACAAGTGATAATATGTTATATATGTGTTATATTCTGGTTCTTCAAAGTAGCACCTTTTGCTCTGATTACTGCTTCACTCTTGGCATTTTCTTGATGAGCTTCAAGAGGACCTGAAATGGTCTTCAACAGTCTTGAAGGAGTTCCCATGATGCTTAGCACTTGTTGGCCCCTTCACTCTGTGGTCCAGCCCCAAAACCATCTGGACTGGGTTCAGGTCCGGTGACTGGAGGTCATGTGGCCCAGCACCATCACTCTCCTTACACAGCCTGGTGTGGATCTACAGTAAAAGTCATGAAAAGACACTCAGTGAAGGAGAGAGGGTGTCCAAACTTTCTGTACTGTATATGCTTTTTGGTTATTTCTGAATTTTGTTTTTTGTGTTCTATTATTCTTTTATACTGTATGAGTATAGGAATGGGTTTGTGAGTGTGTGTGTATACAAACATAACTTGTGTCTCTTTTTTTTCCACACACACACACAAAGGAGGAAGCTACAGGTGAAGGTGGGGCATAAACATGATAGGAAAAATGTACATGAGACATTTGGCACAGATAGAATCACTCAGATTGTGCAAAAGACAGAAGTGTGCATATAATATGTATACTATTGTTAGCTTTTTAGAATGATCAATTTATTTATTTTGTTTGTGTGGATTTTTGTAGCTACTGAACACCTGAATTTCTCCTATGGGGATCAATAAAGTATCTAACTAACATGTTATGGTTAAAAAAAATAGTAACCGCTCAGCTACTGTGCCGCCCTGATGGATGGATGGATAAACCGTTTATTACACGGTACTCATTTTAAACAGTTGAATTACGGTTGCAAGTTTATAGGGCATTTTTATATTGTATGCTGTGAATACATTTTTTGCCTAGACATGAGACAAAAAGACATGAGAAGGTGGCATTGTTCAATTAGCATTTATTAGCAGTTTTAAGCAAGGTCCATGGGCGCTCCTGCAGAAGTCTAGCAAGAGTCTACACAATTCTGTGAAAGTCTCGACAACTCTACCAAAGTCTCAACAACTCTGCCAAAGTCTGATTGTCACAGAGAAGGATCAGAATCAGAAACATTTTTATTGCCACGTAAGTAACAGGAAGTCACAGACTTGGAAATTGCTTTGGCTCAGTGCAACAGTCAAAGAAGAGAGGTAAAGAATAGAGAATAGAGTAAGGCGTCATAAGAATAAAAATCAGCATACACTTCTACGGTATAACATTTAAAATAGAATTATTACAATTACAATTACAGTCACTATGTACAATATACAAGTGCACATGGTGCACACAATATGCAATAGGCAGTGCAATAGGGTGACAAGCAGTAAAGTGACGTTATGATGGCATTAAAGTGACTTAATAAGGGACAGTAAAGTGGCATTATAGGGGCCCGTAAGATGACTTCTAAAGGGCGGGGGGTCAGGTTATGAAGTGTTCAAGAGTCCAACAGCAGAGGGGAAGAAAGTTTTCTTATCACGTGAGGTTCTAGTCCTGGAGGTTGGAATAGTCCATGTGCAGGGTGAGAGGGGTCGGCTGTGATACGACCAGCCCGGCCTGGAGCTCGGGCGACGTACAGGGCGCTTATATAGGCCTTAGATGCTGTTGTAAACGCATAGACTTTGGAAACATGATTGGCCCAAGATGTCATAACTATGATCTAAGTATGGCTTTTTCATGGACCGAACTTCAATGTACATGAGATAGTACTATCTAGGTACTGCACATTTATGCTTTGTAAGCTGTTTAAAGTACAATAGTAAGCAATTTTGAAACTCCATAGAACGGTGTCTGGATTAAATAGCAAGCAATAATTTTCAGATATTCACAATGCCCTCAAAATTACTTTAATAGTGCCTTTAAACTACATACTATATATTTGCTGTTAACAGACATATATAAAGTGTTTTCTCACATGTATGCAGATCGCATTTGCCACAAACCCAGGGCTGTTCTGTGTAATAAAGGCGTACAGACAGCCCGTACAGCAGTATCTCCCGCAGCATCATCTCCCTGTCACAACCATAGATGTGATAAAGGTGTTACCCGCGCTCCATGGCCAGCCTGAAACAGAGACGTGCACTGATAAAACCAACGGGGCCTCGCTTTCATCTTTAAGTCAAGAGTATAGAAGGAAACCACACGCACTGTTTGCACCACCTCCAATTGCCTGCGACTGTCTAATCTGTAATTATATCTCCACTCAACAACAGAGGTGCGGCAGCCGTACACAGCGCCCATCTGCTGCATGGAGGAGAGCGCATTCCCACCTGGCCGATGTTTACAGAGCTGTCAACAACGCTCAACTCTCCCTGACGTCACCGCACTCGTCCTCTACCTCTCCTCAGCCGTCATCCACACAATATGTACGCAGCAGTCTGTTCGGCCTAATTGTGAGACTTCAGTGTATGCTCCATAGGGCTGCGCTGCTGACTTTGTGCAACTCCTGTTTTTTTCCTTTTCTATTTCCGTTCCACTCGAAGACTCCGTTGTTGAAAAGATATTCTGAAAGTTATACGGTGCTGCGGAAATGTTTGATCACGTTTATGGGCTTGTCTTGAGTCTTTTGTCAAAATGTTTTTGTGATTTAAATGTGGTTTTATAGTAATTTAAAGTAAAAATATGAGAGAGTATATCTGAGTTTCCCATGATGTATGTAATGCGCCCGAGTGAGTGAGGAATTTAGCATTTAGCCTAGCTTTTGCATTTAGCCAAGCGTTAGCATAAAGCCTAGCTTTCGCCATCTCCTTTGCTACTAACGGAGCCCGTAGGGAGTAGGGCCACAACATCTTTGCAGCAATGACATTTACTAAACATTCCTTTGCTCCGGCTTCAATTTATTGATATTTGGATTGAACCAGAACAGATTATTTTACTATCGCATTCTCCGACAAACTACAAGCAGCAAATTCAGCACAAACTCTTGACGTAACCGACACGATCTACAACACCCGCCTCCCCCGCTCTCTGATTGGTCCTTGTAGTACTGTAATGGGAGACCTCTGGGAACACCAAGTGCCACAGTGGGGCGACTGTGGCTGTACAGTGCCAAACTGTGGTTGTTGTCATTAGGCAAGACACTTCACCCACATTAGAATGAGTCTGGTGTGTGTGTCTGGGGTCTGAAAAGCGCTATATAAAACCAATGCATTATTAATTGTGATGATTATTATGATTAAAAACGAGTAAATTGCATCCACTAGGATCCGACCCAGACATACATGTAGGAAATGATAATAGACCGGACTTTACGAATGGCTAAGTGCGAGGCTGGATGAGGCCTAAAAATACCTAAGTGTGTCCAACAGTGAAAACCTACTCAGACCTGGTTGCATTCTTGTCAGGGGTATGGAGATAATAGATGACACTGACCCCGTTGCAAAGCTCAAAGACATCCATTCATCTCGTTGTCACTCTTTGACACTTGCACAGATCATGGCTTGACATCTGAGGGTGCGAGCCATTGCTCTTGGAAGGCTCCCACTCCAGTCCACCAGGTCGCGGCAGATAAAGCCTCTATCCTTCACTATGCTCAGATGACTTTGTCTGATTGTTGTGCCAGGACCTGGCTTTCATGGCTTCCGTCGAAGGGATAAGAAAAAGGCCACAGTGATGGAGATCTGGATTCTGTTTTTTCACCCGCATTGCCTCCAAGTATTGATTCTGTCTGGGAATCTTCCGAGAGGAAGCGTTTTAGTCTGCGGCCTCAGACAGTGTGGAGGTGCCGAGTGGCTATTGAGACAGTTAATGTAGATTCGGCTCATGTTGAGTGAGCGCTGTCGCGAGCGGAACGGGGTCAAGACACATTTATCTTGGATCTAAGTGATTCAACGATTCCCTGTATTTTTGGGAATGTGACTTTTCATGTTGTAACATGAAACAACCTTTACTCCAGGCCAGAGATAGAATATGTATTTTGATGCCACATTGATTTACCTATGGATGTATGACAAGGTGAGTCTTTAGATGATTTTGGGATATACAAAAATACATTGAATTGACTTAAATCAGCAGTGTGGCTTCACTTTGTGTATCCAAAAGATGATTTGTTGTTGTTGCTGATGGTATTCTTCGGAAAGGTGCAGGAAAGGTGCAGCAAAATCAACCATGATACAACATCCTTAGTCCAGGTAATACAACTGCAAAATTGTCATAAAAGTTATCAAAATGTTCAGAAATAAGCGCCAAAACTGTCTCTGCTTCTGAATATCAAAAGTGAAAGTACTAGTAACCGGCCACAAACACTTGCGTGTCGGGAGCAGCTCTTAAAGTGACAGTAGCACTAGTCTGTTTTGTTGACTAAGGAAATGTGCTACTGTCACTTTAAGAGCTTGCAGACATAACACCTAGACTACAACTATGATGATGGCTACTACTACTACTACTACAAAACAATTAGGCTGTATGCATTCCTTCATTTTCCTATGATAAGCATGATAATAAGACAAAAACAAACAATCTAAGTTGATAATCTTTCATAATGACCCGCACTCGGAGGTCTCCCATCACAGCACTAACCAGGCCCTGCCCTGCACAGCTTCAGTGGTCCGACAGGACGTGGTTTTCACATGCAAACATGTTCTGAATTTTCATGTGTCTGACTGTTGTGGAATAATCTTGATGAAATACTACAGTGAATACTTCCACGGGGGGGAGGGGCATGGGGGGGTTTGCTGCTACATTGTGTCCTGTTCTGCGTCTGTCTCCACACCCCCTGATGCCACGGAGAGCTGCACTTGTGAGTCTGCTCCCGGCGAGATGTGACAGGCGGGACGCAAACCCACACCATCTCTGTCTCCCCATAGGGCTTTTTTAAATACTTCATTGTGTTTCATTTTGTTCAGTGAATGTATAGACTTGTTTTACTGCAAATAGCAATAAAGGAATTCTGATCCTGATCCTGAATCCTGATCTGGAATCCTGATCCTGACTTCGGATTTGACCATTTGCAGTAAAACCACACTGGAATACATTTGCAAAAGTCCTCAGTGACAAATACACAAGACAAATACATAAATAAAACACAATTAAAAGTACATAAATAAAACCAAAACCAAAACAGTGAATAAGTGACTCTGTGAAAGTGATCGACTAAAACCGTTTGAAAAAGTGTCATTAAAGTGTTTCATCTGTTTAAACTGAGAAATGATTGTTGTTATCATGTTTGTAAGAAAAACACAATATATATTTTTTACATATGTGTGCTCCAAGTTAAGTGCACGTACATATATATATAACCCATGTGAAATGTGTCATAACAGTAAAAAAATAAAATAAAATAAACATATGGCAACACATAAACAATAAGAAATAAAAGGCAAAATTATTATACAAACAAATTAAAATACAGAATTTTGGAAAAAAACGTCCAAATGGTTAAATATAATAATTAATTAATAAATAATTATTACTTCATCATTTAATCCTATATATTATGTTCTGTGTGTATATGTGTGTGTTGTGTGTGTGATGTACAATATATACATAGTTAACAATTCATGTGTCTGCTTACATATCTTTGTGTGTTACTTTGGTCTTTGTAACTTACCTTGTAATGTCTGCAATAGTTTTAATATCCTCCCTCCATTCCTTCATTCTTTTTAAATGAAGGGAGGATATATATACTTTATCACGTGACGAGTCCTGTGGACGTCACTGGTCCTATCATACGCGTTCCTTCAATGTCTCATCCAATAGAGGCGGTTCTTGTGTGTCAGGTGACTAGTTCAGTGGATGTCATTTGTCTATTTTAACACCCATTCATTCAATGTTTTCTTACATTGCCCTGAAGAAGGCCCTGCGTGGCCGAAACGCGTTGGTCCCTTCTGCATTAAAGGACTTTTATCAGAGTGCCTCGGATTTCACCCTGTCTTTATTTTCCATGCAAAAGGGTATTTTTTGTTTTTCTTTAACAATTCATGTTTGAGTTACGCTTGTTGCATTTTTTTGTTTTTGTATTGCTAGTGCAAGCCGTCTTATTTATTTGTTATTATTCTGTGATAAACGTCCTGCTCGAAAAAGAGAGAAAGAGAGATTTTTCTCAATGGGGCTTTTCTTAAATAAAGAAATAAAATGTAAGAGAATATTCAATACTTTAAGAAGGAAGTGGGGGATGTTAAATGTAAGTCATTTTGTCTTCTTCTATTTAAGGCTTAGGTTCTTGTTAATACTGCTCTAAATACAGCGCTGCTATAGTCACTGTTAATATTTTATTGTAGATAATATGTCCTGCACAAAATAGACCTTTACACTTTTAACATGTCTTTAGCACAATCTGAGTGATTCTATCGTTGCCAAATGTGACGTGTACAAAATCAATAAAGTTTATCTTATAAGAAAGAAAAGTAAAGAAGCGAGAACCACTTCATCACCACATGTTTAGACTTCCGCCTTCGTCAGAGACACGTGAGGGTGTGACTCATCAGCTGTTGTTTCCAGATCTGTCACATTGACCACGCCCCCCTCAGATTTACCACACCCTCCCAGATTGACCCCGCTCCCTCAGACGGACCACACCCCCTCAGATTGACCGCGCCTCCTCAGATTGACCACACCCCCTCGGATTGACCACGCCTGCTCAGATTGACGACGCCCCCTCAGACTGACCACACCCCCTCGGATTGACCATGCCCCCTCAGATTGACCATGCCCCCTCAGATTGACCATGCCCCCTCAGATTGACCATGCCCCTTCAGACGGACCACACCCCCTCAGATTGACCACGCCTCCTCAGATTGACCACGCCACTCAAACAGACCACGCCCCCTGTGATCTCTGGAGAAATGAGTCCCAAGTGTGAGCCGATATTGTTGCTAATTGTAAAAAAAAGGGTATTTACTGTATCATCAATTTTCATTCAATTCAAATAACTTCATTTATCCGTGAGTAACTTCATTTACAGACAAAGCACCAGTGGGGGTATATACAAACACAGAAACACAAGATATAAATATAAATACAAATCAAAGTGTAGAAATGCAAAACCGATCTCCAAATTGCGAATTGAAACCAAACTGGTGCAAACATTGTCAGACACCAAAATATTCTGTTTTCTTTACATTTCTCTGGTAAAGTCTTTCACTTTTATCAGCAGGTGAATCAAAGTCAGCGTCCTCACAAGGTGTTTTTACTCTCTGGGGTGTAATCTGCCAGAAAAAGCTGCACAGGCCATTTACCAGTGGCACTGCCCTGGAGAGATAATCCCCCCGTGTCAGTGGCGAGGGCGGGGGCGCTGTGCAGGTTATCTGTGCGGTAATGGCTGGGCCTGGGGGGTCTGCTCCTTCTCCTCTGATAATGTGGACATCTGGACCTCTGCTCCAGTGCTTGGGCTGCTCCACCTCTGATGCTGCACGCTCTGGTGTCTGATCTCAGCATCCGACTGCTAATCTGGATGGATTTTCTATAGTTTGAAAAAATATAAACCAGGAATGAGTCTACCTCGTCCAAAGAAAACGTGACATTTGATCAGAAAAGGTAAATCATGTCTGGTTAAAAATGTTAAAGTAGCAATATGTAAGAGTTTCATGTCAAATCAGCATTAAAGGGCCCTAATCTGTCATCATTAAAGGGCCCTATTCTGTCATCATTAAAGGGCCCTAATCTGTCATCATTAAAGGGCCCTAATCTGTCATCATGAAAGGGCTCTAATCTGTCATCATTAAGGGGCCCTAATCTGTCATCATTAAAGGGCCCTAATCTGCCATCATTAATAATAATAATAATGCATCGGTTTTATATAGCGCTTTTCTGGACACTCAAAGACGCTTCACATGTGTCATTATTCATTCACTCCAAACACGGTGGTGATAAACTACTGCTGTAGCCACAGCTGCCCTGGGGCACACTGACAGAAGCGAGGCAACCAGTATGCGCCATCGGCCCCTCCGACCACCACCAACCATTCATACACACACCAGACTCATTCTAGGCAATGGGGGTGAAGTGTCTTGCCTATGGACACAACGGCAGTTTGGCACTTTACAGCCGCAGCCGCCCCACTGTGGCTGATGTTCCCAGAGGTTAAGTGTCTTGCCAAGGACACAACGACAGCAGACAGTGGGAGTCGATGGTGAAAGTCTTGAGCGGGGCTTGAACCCACGACCTTCTGGCTCAAAGGCCAAAGCTCTACCAACTGAGCTACTGCCGCTTAAAGGGCGCTAATCTGCCATCATTAAAGGGCCCTAATCTCTCATCATTAAAGGGCCCTAATCTGTCATCATAATTAACTGCTCTTTTCCAATACTTCTTTAACTGATAACAGTAGTTCAGAGATATTTGAATTTCTAAAATACTTTTCCAGCCCCTAAATCTTGTTATTGTTTTCATTTCAATGTCCTGCCCTCCACCGTTTCACCAATCAGAAAGTCCGTGACCCGGGCGCCAGAACTCACCGTGTCAAGCTAATCTTACTGGTAAAATAATATATAAAAGGTCTGATGTTGTGATTCTAAAAACATTGATGAAAAATAGAGGAATTTAATGACAATTTCTACCGAGGTCTTTCTGAAAAAGGTGTTGGTTTTAGATTTGTTGTTGACAAAACTCTTGTCTATTCAGATGTTATGGTCCCAGCTGGATTCGTCTGCATATCTGGCAACCTGAGTCAGGGAGAGTGGGAGAGGCTGCAGTACCACTTTTGGCCACATTTTTACATACTGCTCCTTTAAGTTTTGTTTATACTTGACTTGTCCGTTAGGCCTAAGCGTCTCCATCAGATAATGTAACACCTTTTTTGACGATGTGCCGCCAACGAGGCATTTGCACTTTATCTCTTATAAAATATACGCAATGTTTTTAAGGCCTTGTGTGATCGATGAAAACCCAAGTCTCAAAGCACCAGTCCCTGACTGATCCTGCAGGTGGTGAGTCCACGTGAAGATGGTCTTGGTGTTTCAGTTCAGGCTTCAGGCAAAATCGGGCAAAATTAAGTGTCTTGCTCAGGGACACAATGACAGCAGACATCACAGACATCAGTGGGAGCAGGTGACATGAGACGGGGACCGAACCCAAAAACATTAGTTTCAAGTTCACCAACTGACACACTCTTGCCTCGAGATAACAATATATATATTTATTATATGATTTGGACCGTACGCGCGCTCTGATTGGCTGATTACCGCTCTGATTGGCTGATTACCGGTCTGATATTTTCCCATCTCAGACCGTTACCATGACAATTGGTCCGAACAGCGCGTATCACATTTGATATCTTTCCTCGGACCGTTACCATGACAATCAGTCCGCAGCGCGTATCACAATTGATTTCTTTCCTGAGTTTCCTTGGTAAAAAATGAAATAATGGGCGACAACTGGGAGCATTCTCTCAGTGAATTCTATTATCCGGACGAGTTTGACTAACAGACAAGATGAGATTGACAACTTCGTTGCAGACCAGAAAACTAAAAACACGATTAGGAAAACCAAGTCGGAGATCGATATTTGCATAAATTCATTCCAGTCACAACAGGCGAAAAGATTTGGGTAAAATCACCTCTTTCAATGATCCCTTGTTTTACCACAGACTGTAAATATTAACAGATGTAGTGACGCCTATCTCCGCCGGTCAAACTATTGTGCCTTCACTTTTTCCATAAATGGCTTTTTCAAAATGGCTTCGGAGCAGGAAAATGTGGAAAAAACGCATTAGCACATGTGTTAGCTGCACTAGCCCCATTCATTTAACGAGTGCATTCAAAAGTCCACAGCGGCTAAACTAGACTGGTCTAAAGAATATACTCTCCTCAACATCGAGAGCATCTGGACCGTAGCTTTGGACCAAGCCCCGGCGATCCAAGATGGCGCCCTATTCAAATGAATGGTTGTGCTCAGTGGCGCTTTGTGACGAAATGGGGGCTGAAAGATTAGCGGAAGTTGCCTGGAACTCACAAAGATCTATGGGAAAATTGCCTGTATTTGGGCATCGTCTGGTCCTCCCGGTTCTGCGCAGTGGATGATCTCCCACAATGCGTTGTGCCAAATACGCTTGTGTGGGTCTCACACCGGGTCTCACGCACGTGCACAGAGGGGCTCGGCCGCGCTCTGACCAATCAGAGCAGTTCATCAGAGCGGGAGCCAGACGAGCAGAGTTTGTGGCACTAAAGTGTGGATTTAAACAAAACCAAAGGATTTAAGAAGAAAAAAAGTTCAGGATGACAAAGGACACTAAAATCCCCACAAAATCCAACCTTTATCAAAGCTGGTTCTCTGTCAGCTGAGGTTGAGCTGTTTTAATTTACATTGAGTTCTATGGGGAACATCTCTGGGTAGCCCACGTGAATTTAGTCTGGTCTAGTCTCCAGTACCGCGAGAATCCCCCGAGCACATGAGTTATTCAGCTACAAGCTAGTAATACCCTATCCAGTTATTATAATAGATCCATGCTTTGGACCAAGAACCACTTTTGGAACAAGAGCCACTTTTAGACCAAGAGCCACTTTTTTATACGTTTATTACTATTAAGAGGAATAACCCCTTGAGATGAATAATCTTGTTTCCGAGGGGGTTTTCAAAATAAAATAAAATAATAACAGTACAGAAGTCAGTTACATACAAAACAAAATTATTACATTAAACAAACACAAAAAAAGAAAACAGATACAATACAAAATAAATACATTATATTACTGATGGAGAATACAACTTAACACAACACAGACATAATACAGCAGAAAACACATCAAAAGCAGTTACAGACGGTTTTAAAGTGCTGTAACACAGCGTTCTTAAGCAAAGGGAAGGAGGTGAGGGAGCGAATGGTGGAAGAAGGTTCCAGTCTGTTGGGGCTTTGTAAAGAAAAGCATGTTTTCCTATTTATTTTTTAACACGGGGGGTGTGGAAGAAAAGAGTATCAGTGTCAGTGTGACGAAGACTGTAAGTGGAACTAAAAGGTGTAAGATATTGTTTCAGGTATGTGGGATAATTAAAATAATTACATTTGACTTTTTAGCCCACCACGGGACCTTCTCCACCGACTCCCACTGATGACTGCTGTCGTTGTGTCCTTGGGCAAGACACTTAACCCTGCATTGCCTGAAGCCCCCGCTGAAAAATCAAGGCCGTATTGTCACTGACAGAGCAGCCGTCCTCCTGTGGACTCACCACCTGCAGAGGATCAGTGAGGGGCTGGTGCTATGTGAATTGGGTGCAGCTCTGACTGCCACCCCCCCGACCCAGAAATGGATTAAGGGGAAGAAGATGGATGGATGGATGGACATTTGACTTTTAGACCAAGAGCAACTTTTGGACCATCCTGTAAAGACCTTTTCCAGATTAAAGAATACCTCATACAAAAGCATAGGGTAATTCTCTTTCCGGGTACACCCCCACCAGCAGGCAGTGACATTGCAGCATGTTTGCGCCCATAGACGGTTTAAATGTCATAACCAAAGAAAAGGAACTCTCTCTTTACATTGTTTGAGGCGAATGCTATCGTCGAGTGTTTTCAGATTGGTTTCCCTCTTGCTCCGGGCCCTCGGCTGCCCCGGCCCTCCCCCCCCGCCCTCCCCTTCTGCCCTGTGGTGGAGTGCCCTGTGTGTGTTTTGGCGTTTGTTGAAGTGTGAGGAGAAATA